ATGTTGTTGAAATAATTTAGTATAAGAATACAATGTGTTAATTTATGATTTTATACTTGTATTCCAGATCAGATATTTGACGAACACAAGAATAATTTTCCCGCTTGAAACTGATTCCACTAATGAAAATATAACTATTGTTGGTAAAAAGAAGAATGTTAATAAAGCAAAAGCAAAATTTGAAGTTATGATAACCGATATTGGTAATGTCATCGAAGAACATGTAGAAATCAATGAAAAGAATCATGTCACTTTAGTGGTCAATCAAAAAGAATGTTTACACAAATTGGAAAAAGAATGTGATGTTAAAAAAGAATTTCCTAAACTTGGTGCTGGAGATAGAGTTGTGATCAGTGATAGAAAAGCAGATGTTGCTCTTGCTAAACAAAGACTTTTAGACCATGCTAAAGTTTTGGTATGTATAATTCAATACAAATGCACGTGTATTAAACTAACCTAACTATTTCTTATTGAAATTTCATTGAGGTTATATTTACTTAATTGTTCATAGTTTTCTTTACAACAATGAACTATTGATATATAAGTCATATAAAATGAAATAACTTAAGATAAAACAATTAAAATAATCATTGATGTACCTAAATACAGCTAAATAAGTTAACCATATAATCATTAACAATTTTGATTTAGGAAAATACTATTCGAACTGCAGTAAATGTTGATCCAAAGTATCATAATTACTTTGTTGCAAGACGTGGTGAAATTATCAATCGCATTATTAATGAGTGCAATGGAGTGTGTATAACATTTCCGAAAATAGCTTCTAGTAATAGTGCTGTCATCATAAAAGGTGATAAAATAAATGTTGAAGAGGCGAAACGTAAGATTGAAGAAATTGTTAAAGACTTGGTTAGTATTTACTAAACAAATTCATAAAAAAAACCTGTGCTTGACAGTTATTACATAAAAAATAATTGAACATTAATTACCTTTTAATTTATTTAAATAATAGATATACGAGAATCATAATACAATAATAATAATTATAATCTCGTAATACATTAAAATGTTATAGAAAAACATAATTGAAGTCACTATGAATGTTTCTCCAAAGTATCATCATCATTTTGTTGCCCACCACGCTGAAGTAATAAACCAGATAAGTGGGAAACATAATGGAGTTACTGTTAAATTTCCACAAGTTAATTCAAATTCTTGTAAAGTTTTGATTAAAGGCCACAAGGATTATGTTAAAAATGTCATAAATGAAATCGATAATATTATTATTAACTTGGTATATTGAATACTACCACTTATTGTTTTATTGTTAAATTATTAATAAATAATCGTGTTACACAGCGGCGTAGCAGTGGTGCAGTAGATGCAACGCACCGAGGCCTTCGTGATTTGGGGCCCTCAATTCAAAAAAAAACTGATATGAATAAAAATAGAAGTTCGCGTTAACTACAACCAATTGTTTGTTTTGATTTTTTGTAAAAATAAATTATGAAAACATTTTTTTTTTTTCAAAATCTCATCAGCGTCTTTTATTGTTAGATTAGTCAAAATAGTTGAACTAATACATTGAAATGTAATTATAATGAAATAAAATAAAATATAAATTTATATAAAATATTAAATACGATAAACTTATTATAAAAATTACTATATTAACAAATTTATTGTTAATTGTTGATTATGTTTTTTTAGTATTTTGGGTTTGACCCCCTCCATTTTTTAAAATCATGGCTACGCTAGTGAAAGTAATATTCTTTATTACATAAAGTGAACTGAACTATAGTCATAAATATTTTTATTCCATATTAATTGATGTAAAAAAATTGAGGAGGATTATTAAAGTGTTCTAACTGTGTTTTTTAAATGACTTTAAATACTTGGAATACATTGGGAATTTGTTAATCAAACTGACCTGCTATTTTACTTTTATTATATCTGGTTTATCTGTAAAAATAATAATCACAGCCATGAATGATTATTATAATTTCAATATTCTACAAAATATGACGTGTTCCAATCATTAATTTTACAAAATCATAGATAATGTTTAGTAATAGGTAATAGTGATCTGTAAAAATATTTATAAATACAACTGCATCATGTTGCTAAAGCAAAAACTTCAAATATTGTTAATAAAGGACATCAGTTAACCAAATTAGTTGTATTTTAAAATCTGTGATAGGTACTGTATGTTTTAATTTTAAACTAATATGTTAAAAATGTTTATGTTGTGAAAAATAAAGTATTTGTTTTTTTTCCGCTTAATTATATTTAATTTTAATGTCTCTTAATTAATTTAAATTTTACTTATTGAAGAAATAGTATGAATAGTAAGCAGCAAGTATTTAATATTTTTTTGCCGACCGAAAACATGGTGGATGCATAATAAGATCACTTCCGCCAGATTTCATCATTCTCGATGGTAAATTCGATGAGTAGTTTATCAAGTTAGTATAGAAGTCTGTGTATTAAAGTCATAGGCACGCGCACGGAGCGAGCCCCGGCTTGACCGGAATTTTTTTGGAGGCATAGTAAAATTCAAACCAACCATAGTAAAATATCTGTAAATATTTTAACACGTTCGTGGAAATCAATTAATTTTAATTATATAATTTGATTTTAAAGAATTAAAAGTTTTACTTTTAACTTCAAAAATACATGTCTAAAGACTAGCAACATAATACTTGATTCTATGTATAGATATAAATACTACATTGTTTTTAATTTGCAACAGAATCTACTATGTTGAAGCGTGAGAAAAAAATTAGGAGCACTGTCTAAGTATTGGGGCTCGACCGGAAGTTGAAGTCTGCGCACGCCTATGATTAAACCGTCTTGTACCCGTAAACACCCATCATAATAACTCGTATGATAGCCCAATCAACGGACTCGGTCTTCTCGTTCAATTTATTACTGTTATTATTTTATTGATATTGAATTGTATCGGAATTTCTTGATCTAACTCGGACGACGCATAATGGACGTACCACTATAGGGCTATAAATAATATTCCGTTCCGTAGGCCGTGACTCAATATATTGCACGCATTGTCCGGACTTCGATTTCCATTCGATTAGTATTATGTTTGCAGACTGCAGGTCCTCGACCCATGAGGGGCTTCGTCTGTTGCGCACATCTTTACAGATTACATTTACATATTGTTTTTTGCGTGTTTGGTTACATAAAATGCGTAGGTGTCGTCCATACTTTTGTATTCAAACGTTATGATTTTAATCTTTTGGCGATCTTCCGTGAATACAAATTAACATGAACAATAATTATTATTACAATGGTGAGATCAATAAACGAAAACACGGGTAAACGTTCACACTGCATAACAACTGATTTGAATATTACGTTGATAAGTTAACCACTTACCGCGATAATCTGTTCTACGCGTCATCCGATAAAACGGTTTTTCTCGTAAAAATGTTGAATTATACAACGATACATTTTAACAATCTAATCGGTTATTATTTTTTTCATACAATATTTGGCAAAAAGACCGTCACGGTGCGTCATACATATCAGCTGAATCGTTGTTAACCGTCTTCATGTTTTTCGAACTCAGTGGATTTGTCCAAACGCCACCTTTTTTCTTTCGCCAGTACGATTGGTAACCGTTTTACATATTTACTTTGTTCAAACCGCAACCGGTCAGATGTTATAATGGACGAGGCACTAATGAGCGGAGTAAATGATGGAAATGATTTCGACTCCGAGCAAAGTGTTAATATAGTATTTCGGATCAGGAGCGTATTTAGACTTACTTTTAGGGGGGGGGGGGGATTGAAATGTTTTCTTTAATTTAGGCTCAAAATTTACAAGTAAAATTTTTGGTAATATTAATATCAGGTGAATCCTTAATATTTATGGTTTTTTTTTTTTTTTAATCTAATGCTGGATCCACTTAGAATGGTCTATTGTGTAGTTCTTTTTTAACACCTATCTGTGTTTTAAAAGTTTCGCTTGTGTTTTACCTAATTTTTCACTAAGTATGGACTGGATCTTCAATCAAAATAATATATATTATTTATCGTTATGGGACATATAACGTTATAAGTAATTGAGCGTTTAACGTTATAAATAATTTAAACGTTATTCAATTCAAGCGTTTAAACAATATACAAATTTAAACGTTTTTAAATGTAGTAATACTATAAGATAAATCATAATTTTTGTTTCTTAATAAAATACCCATTACTTACATAATAATTGTCGGGGGGGGATTGCCCCCAACGCCCCCCCCCTCAAATACGCCACTGTTTCGGATAAACGGTGATATATGTTTTGATTTACCGTCACGCTATTATAAAACTCTACTAAAAGTTTCACATCCCTCCCCATGAAGTGATAATTACGGTTATAGCGAAAACTATTGTCATACAGGAGTGGACTGGCCAGGGAGGCAAAGGGGCTATCGCATCTTGGGTCCTCGCTAGTGTCATATTAATTACCCGTATATAAATATTAAATTATAATAATAAAACATCAATCATTTACTATTAGAAGAATATCCGAATTTAGATGAATTGGGCACAATTATCTAAAAATATTTATAACATTAAAATGTAATAATAATAGGTCTAACTCCACCGGGTCCCTCGATACCCAGTCCAACCATATTGCCATATTAGTATTGTTATAAGAAAACATTTAGTCAGACATTCAATCTTCAGTCGTCTCTGAGTGCAATATACCATCGGATTCACTACAGGTAAAATTGTATGCCCATAACCCTGTCTCTTTTAGGAAATGTTGATGATCAGGCAGTTTCCACGACGACGTGCGTATTGCGGCTGTTACGGACGTCGCTGTTTTTGAGCAAACGGACGTAATACGGTCTGAAATTATTTGAAACAAAACCAAAAATACAGTCACTACACGAAGCACGTTCGTACGTACGTATACGCGTACACAATACACAACAAAATATTTACGCCGCACCAGTGTAAGCGGCAATCAAAAATCGTGGGATAAACTGCAGTAGTCGAACACGTTGAAAACTCGTCGAACGAAGTATGATCAATAACGATTGCGACGAGGAAGTGTTCCTGTTGCCGCTGAAGAAAAAGGATCAAAAGGACAGGCGGTGCGTTACGTGGAAATACGAGAGCACGAAAGGGTGCGACTGCGGGTGTCCGCCGGGATCGGATGCGGAGGAGCCACGCGATGCCGGATGTCGGTTCTCGGACCCGCGCAGAATCGGCGGCCGGTTCGAGGACTCGGACGAATGGAAAAAGACCAAGTGCACGGCGGCGGGTCTTTTCCGCACGCTGGGTCGGTACTATGATGAGACGTGGTTCCCGACCGTGATCAACGAGTGGTCTGACCTGTACTATCGGTGCAACTATAGTGGCAACTACTGGAAATACAGGGACCAATGGCTGGCCGGCGACAAGGAAGTCCGTCTGGAGGTGTGGGCCGAGATCCTCAGGTATCGTAACAAGTACGATAAACGCCGTCAGGAGCGGTGCACTGAAGACGAGGACGCCGCAAAGGTTCGTACATCAATCCCGAAAGGCCGACGCTAAAGGCTTTGTAGTGGGCCTATTCAGACCACAGGGATACCATCTAAGTATCTAAAATGCATGTTCCCGTAGTGATTTAAAAAAATCTTAAAAAGTCCCGTTTTCTTTTTTGGAAAATTCCGCTTGTTCTGAAAATATTTAATACGCTTAAGCGTTTGAATTAATTTTCATTTATCAAGATTAATAATTAGTTATCTCATTATACTTTTTTCTTAATCTTGCACAGCCATTCTCGCTGAGCAATTCAAATCTAACTCTTAGTCGATGGATACTTGAAATATGTACCCGGTCAAACAGGATCGTCTAAAACAACCACAGCCTTAGCTTGTTCGTATAGGAAGAATTTATTAAACGCCCACAATAACATGGGTTATAGCAAATATTATTGCCATACTAAATAAAAGACATTTAAATTTATGACTTATTACTTGAATTATTTGTGTAACTCAATTTCAAAATTCAAAAGAATTTACAAAAATAATTTAAACAGTTAAATAAATAATCCTAACAACTTCAATACATTTTTAAAAACAACAACATGATAGTGATTAAAATCATTAAAAAGTCGATCCTTAGTCTTATGATAGGGGTGGCAAAAATATTTTGACGCTACAAGCCAAAAATTATCTATTTTTCTTTTCTTCGAACGGGTCATTCTTCTTCTTCTTGGGTTAATCGGCCGCTAGGACCATCCCGTCTCAGAACCAATTCTCCAGCCATCTCTATTCATCGCCAAATCCTTCTAGTTTGCTCCGCCTCCTAAGTCTTCTACATCCCTCTTAACTATATCTTCCCATATCAATTTTGGTCTTCCCAAGGGCCTTTTTCCTACTGGATTCTGTTCCAACACCATTCTTAGTAGAGAGTTCTGGCTTCGTATTGCATGTCCTGCCCAACGCAACCTTCTTTTCTTGATCGTCTCTGCTATGTTATTTTCATTAAAATAAAAATCGAACGGGTTATTAGTTATTATGAAAAAAAAATATACCTGTGTGTATTATAAGTAGATATTTATATAAAAATGTAATACTTAAATAAATACATACAGGTAATTACATTATTTTGGTAATTATTCATCATATGTATGTGGTTTCTTTTGTTTAATTGCCAATTCGTTGATATATGGTTTATAACTAACATCCTTTAATAAAGTGCATGTAGCACCATTTTTTAGTTAGTTATGAATAGTATACCAATAAAGCAACATGTAATTATTATGGTCCAATTGTTTACGACTTCTGTAGTTCTTATCGAAAAGTCAAACGTAGTTTTTCTAGCTAAAAATATGTTTTGGTAAAATATATATAGTTGTTACAAATCAAAACCATTATTTTCTCATATGGGTATTTGTTTTTAATAGCTTTATAATTAATTTAAATTTACCTACTAGAAATAATAAGTTTTGAAGAATTAGTACAACCGATTTCTTTAAAATTAAAAATATTTTGAAAATTCAAATTTACATTAAATTGCTTTGGAGTAGATATCAGTTATATGAATTGATTTAAAAAAAAAAAATAATAATAACACGTACCTATAGGTAATTATTATTATAATTTCAAGCGCATCGAGGTCGGCATTTTTTAAGTTGGTATAAGATACCGTAAGTGTATAATAACTCCAGTGACGGTAACAGATAACATTTTATTTACCGATAGTGTTATTTGTAAGATCGAGGAAATATGCGGATCCGTGGACGAGGCCAACGATGTGATCGACCTGAAGAAATTGAGCGCGCAAGATCTGAACTACAACGAACTGGACGAGCCGAGCGCGGCGGAAAGAGCGAAGGCGGAAACGGAAGCGGCCGAAATAGCGATGGCCGACCCGGACGACGATCCCGACTGGGTGGAAATGCGGCGCCGGATGCGGGGATCGTTCGCGGCGCTCAACCGGGCCCGGTGCGAGGTGAACAACGAGATGTTGCGTCACGTTATGGTCGAACTGTGCAACTATTGGTCGAGGGTGCCGAAAATCCAGGACGAAATCGAACCGCTCCTGGAGAACAACATTTTGCGTGAGATCCAAAACTTCCGGTTCAAACTGTTCGACGTAGCCGCGGTAATCGACCCGGACAGCTTGCCACCGAACGCTGACCGATGTCGGCCGGGGTCGGAAACGGAAGAATGTTGCGAGCAAGCACCGCCACCGGAGCAACCGCGTCCACCGCCGTGTCCACCCGCGGCCAAAGCGAAGCAAAGGCCAAAGTCGGCGACAGCTTGCGCCCGTAAGCCGAACACCAATAAGTTGACCGAGGCCCGAGCCCGTCAAACCGCCGCCAGGTTACGGGACCGTGAAAATCCAACCGGCCGAAATTAAAAAAAAAAAAAAAAAAAAAAAAAGGAAATAGTCATCATCATTACACGAGTTTTTAACTGAACGATAGTGTTCAACAATTATATAAAAATGTATTTTACCGCAAACACTAGTACTGAAATGATTTGGCAGTTTATACACGTATGGCAATTTTATGTCTTGTTTCACATCGTTTTTACTAATCAACGGTGGAAACAAGTCCGTAAGTGTTTTCCGGTTAAAATTGTTGCTGAACACTGTGATAACGTTTTGTCATTTAACATTTTTATAATACACGCATGTATGTGGTAAAACAAATTACTCACGGAAAATCTAACGAATAACTGAACTAACAAAAAGGAAAATAACTAAACCGCAGTTTTGTGCTTTAGTTAGCTTTCATTTTATTCAAAATATTTTTTACCCGCTACGTTTTGGTGATAATTTCACTAAAATCGTAGTGTTCATTTATTTATCAATTTTTTTGATAATTATTCAATAAATATCCGATCAACAATTACGTATATTTCGGAAAAACTATATTTTAATTCATGCTCCTACTCAAGAAAATCTATCACGGACTACATTATGTTTTTTCAATAACTTTCGAAAAAAACTTACCAAATAGTAAAATGTTAACCATGGTATAGTGGGTATTTTTCAAAATTTCTCTTTTCAGTAAGGTATTTCAAATCGATGTTCAATAGACCTTCTGTTTAGCGTGTGCAAGCGGATAAAAACAAAGTTTACGATTAAAAACGAGACAAAAAATTATGGAACGGTACGGACGGAACAACGTGAACTATGAAGTTATTGAAATAGTTAAAATTACGTTTTTCCGTTATTTCAATCCCTTTTGATACTGGTTTCCGTCCCATTCCTGTACACCCACTTTTGATCGGAACCGTTTCACGGATTTACCGATTGACCTCGAAGTGCGCACCACCGACGACGAATATCACGCGCAATAAACGGGCCCTCAGATTCTGCGTTCTCGGCTCCGCGTAATCTTACGGTTTTCGTTTTAAACACCATCGCGGGGTGCGCCCGACTACCCTACCACGTATACGCAAACCTTTTCGGTCTTGATTTATGACTTTTATTTCGTTCACGCCGTAATAGCGCGTTCGCGCGAAGGTTGAAATCTAAAACTTCCCGAGACGGAAGAGCTGCCGAACTCGGATTGATCGCGACCGTTCCGTCGGAAATCGCGCTGCACCGTTGTTGATGTCCACCGATAAGTCCGCGTCGGGACCGAACGACGGCCAGTGATAAATACGTACGCGATAACGATCGACAGGACGCGTCGGTCGGATTCGTTAAATCTATATTTTACGCGCGACGATACACGTGTGTGAGGGGGGGGGGCTACGAATCGCTATCCTGTGAGAAACGGATCACGTATTATTATTGCGAATCGGACGCGCGGCAACGCGCATCAGTCGTACGTTAAGTTTTCGGATCGATTTTCATTCCACTCGGAAATCCTTCGTCGTATCTTTGCAGAGCTCGTGCGTTCGAATCGATTGCATAAAAATACCGTAACCGGAAACGATTCAATCAACCGCTCAATGTGTGTCAACGTTCAAATAAACGAAACCACGATTTATCGGTCTGCTCGGTGAAACGAGCCGTGTTGACAGTGACGAACTCATCGGGAAGGAGTGTAGGATTCGATCGAACGTTACGGTCAGACGCTTTCTGATTCTTTTTCGCAATCGAATACATTTATAAAACACATTGAACGCTGTTTTATTACATTCGAGTAAGGATTCCGAGTTCTTTTCACTTGAAATTCGCATTGTTGCAGGTTCGTTCCGTTTAACTTTCACCCGGACGGCCGAGCATGTTTTACTCGACCATTGAAAATGTAATGTGATATTTCATAATTTAGTTCAACCGCAGTACAGTGCATAAGCTGTTGACGTGTAAAAACAGGTTGAACATCGAGTGTCGAGCGATGGTTTGATTTTTTTTTTGTAAACGGTTGAACTGTTCGTGTAATGTACAGATTGGAGACTAACCGCTTGCTTTTTAGTGACGGCATGTTGATGTAAGGCCATAAAAACCGAGAGTGGCGGTATTTTCGCCTTTGTTAATCCGGACGGTATTAAAATTTAACATTAAACCGAATGTCAATATTGTACAAAGTCGAACTGTATGGTCGGACATGTAGTCTTTACGTAGGATCTTATCGTCCTCGTGATGTCCATTATGTTTTATGGGATGGTAGTGTGTGTGTGTGTGTTGCATTCCACAATATTTTTAACAGCCTGATGAAAATATACTATCACCTCAAAGGATACGCACATCGTACAGCCTAATATTTATATTTATTTACTTACGTCATACTTACGGTGAACGAACTCGGGTGCGTCGTATCTTAATTCTCGGGGGTAAAAAAAAGGGTTCTATTGAAATGTTGACCGGTGGGGTGAACCGGTACAGCAAGTGGTTTTTCAGAGCGCATTACCCATTTTGATATTTTAATCGCGTCAATAAAAGGCACATAATAACGCATATCTATTTCGTATGGGCTGATAACCACCCGTCCGGTGTTGTCTAAAATCCGAAATTAATGTTCACATAATCGTTATTGTTAACGTGTCAAATCGTTTAGGGTTTTTTTCCGCGGGCAATTAGATAAACAACGTTATCATGGGGGGGGGGGATATTGAATAATTGTACTTCTTACCGTAAATAAAATGGTCGAACTGCACTTGGATCAATATGGACATAAACGCAGCAAATAATAAAAAAATACCTAAATAAAAATTTTTTAACAATTTTATTTTTACTGTTTTTTAAATTGTTCCATCCGAACACATCTTGCCATCCTCGTAACGTAGTGCCACTCTTTGGCATATTATCAACCACCTCTCTTTGCTCAAGTTTAGTCCATCAATGCAATGTTTCTCAACTTCTTTTACCCGCGGAACCTTTGCAAGAGCTTGAACGTTTTGTGGAACCCCAATATTTTTTCTATAATATTAATACAGACATATGTTTTGTACGCTTAACCGAGTGGGTTATCGGACACTTCCGGCACAAGAGTTTCATTAATATAAAAAAAAACAAGACGGCTTAAACATTTTATTTATTACTATTACAATATTATAAATTTACATATCAAAGCTTAAAATTTAATATTTGTCTCTCATTACCTCTATGATTGATCAAATGAGAAGATTGGAATCTTTCTATAGTTTTTTTTCATAATTGTTTTTAAATCTGGAGTTATTCCTGAAAGTTGGATTTTTCAGTCCAGAGTCGCGTTCAGTTGATTTCGAAACTTATTCTTAGTCTTTGTATACACCGAAAAGCGGTTACCGGTATTTTTCCCGAATCGAAATTCCCGAATGTCCCTTTTCCTGAAGGTTATTGTTCCCGAAATAGAAAAAAAAAATCAAAATAACACAATATTAACAAAATTAACTTACAATTGCTAATTATTAGCACTTAATGTTCAAAAAGTTTAATCGGAGTATTTATTATTTGATTACGATATCGGAGATAATATGTAAACAGATTTGTGTAAAATGAGTTGTACAAAAATTACTACAAATAATAATTGTGTTGCAAACAATAATGATGTTGCATGTATTTTATTTAGTGAGCAAAATTGTAGATCTTTAATGGTATAATTTTAATCGTATAGCCGATGAACCTATATATTTTTGACTTATATTATTCAAATTCATGCGTACATAATTTAGATGTTTTATAAATAAAATAATATTTTAGTAAAATAACAAGATAATATTTTAGTAAAATAATAAATTATATTTTTATGACCTTAAAATAATATTAGTATTTTATTTTTAACAATGATCGTCGAAAAAAAGCTTTCGGGAAGAAGGACGGGAACGCCGGAAAGCTACAAATTACGCACCTCACATCGGGAAATGTGTCACTTCCAGTTCTATGTTGAGTTCTATGTTCAAATCATAGTTCAAATCAAAATATTGCTAATTAATTTATATTTTCCCAAATTTTTCACGGAATCCTTTGCGCAAGTTCACGGAACCCTTAGGTTCCACGGAACACCAGTTGGGAAACACTACATTAATGAATATTCCTTTTTTTTTTTTTTTATATTTATTGCCGGAACACTGTACGATTTATAATACCTATTCATTATATATTTTGCATCCTGGATCTTACAATATGCTAAATATGTAATGCATCATTTCGGGAACTAAAAATACTCGACCGTCGTCGGTCGCTGTTACTATCTTATAAATAACATCGTTTATCTTCATACCAGTAGCACGTGAATCACCCAAAAATATAGACAATTTTTAGATTCCTATAGTATATTATAATCGGTTATTACTGCACATAGTCTGTAACTAACAAAAATATTTGTTAAAAAAAAAAAAAAAAGTGTTGGGAAGTACGTCAATTAGCGAATAAATAATTATCAATGCACACGTTTGTTGTGCTCCGGGCGGGCGTACAGAATTTAGCTACACGCGTTGACACATCGGTTAGTGGGGATGGGAGTTTTGGCGTATCCGAGTTGGGTCCCAGATAATAAATATTAATGATAAAGATAAACAAGTAATTGGGTTCATCTATAAAAATCATAACATACAGGTTCGATCCGTCTATAAAAACGATAACATACTAGTTCGGTCCGACCGCTACGACAATAAAACCTGTAACTTACAAGTAATAATAAATATATATTATATATTTTTTGATAATGTTAAAAAATTAATAGATTTGAGTTTGTAAAAGCTTAATCATTTAAATTTTTATCAATTGTGTACATTTTTAAATTTTTTAATAATTTTATTTATTTATTTATCATATACCAGTATTCTAGTTTTCAATTAATAAATATACATATGATACCATATAAAAGAAACTTTTTTTTAAAAAAAAAAAGTCCTACCTATGTTCTGATTTATAGGTAACTGAGAGTCCTAAGTCTGTAAAAATGAGAAGCGAAATTTTTATTTAAATTTTAAAATCGTGAGACCCAAATAGTGTACTACCTGAAAAATACTGGTACCCAA